GGCAATCATTAGAGCTGTTAGTGATAGCTCTAAAGTTTTAGTGGACTTTTTTTTTTAATGAAGAAGAAAAAAATAATTCACCCAAATTATAAAAAAACTATGTAAAGTCTATCAGGCTTTTTACAAACCTAAAATATGAAAAATAGGATAGGAGACATTTTAACTGAATTTATAATAGGGAAAATTTTTTCTAGCATCCATTCAAAATTCTGTGTGGTTAGTTGACTTTGAACATTTTCTTTTACTCAGTGTAAACATCCTAAGCCTTTTCCTAAGCTAATCCCTAAGCAGAACTAGTTTTTCCTATAATTGCATTATGTCCACCCTTTTTCTTCCATTTTTTCCCACATTTCCATTGTGGTTTTTAGTGTTTTTTTGCTGGCAATTGACTAACATTAATTTTTAGACCATACAGAAAATAATTCTTAAAAGTACAGAGAAATTTATATTAAAACCAGGGTAGAGAGTGTTATCTGAGTTTTTCATTGCTCATTACTTCCCTCTATGTTGTCTGACATATTTATTTGTCTTCTGATTCCATGTACATCCTGTTGCCCTACAGCACAGTTTCACATAGTGAGTGTATCAGACTTGCAAGATAAAAAGCTATCAATGCACCTGTTCTGATCTTTGAATTGCCTCACAAATTTTCTCGTATTTTTGTCTTACTATTCTCCCTACAATATAGTGAAATCTGTGTAAAAACTCTGAAAAGTCTCTCTGATAGTCAAGGCTATTTAAGTCATTTTTTTAGCAATATATTGGACTGATATAAAATATGGCAATTTATCTTTCTTGATTAGGATGTCTGTATGATTTAAGAACATATTAAATTACAAGATTATGGATTTTTGACTGAAGAAATTGTCCTGTTTCATTTATCATTTCAATATAGATTTTTTTAAACTGTCCATGATTTAACTCATAAACCATAATGACTTATTGAATCTTTGTTACTGAATCAGCAGCCTCTAAGTTAACTAATTTGTGTCACCATTTGATTTTGAAGAATGAGCTGCTTGAAGTAAGTTAGAAACCAGGATTGAAAAAATTATTTTTCAAGTGGAATGTGAATCATAAATAAAATCTGTTTTCACCACCTCTGCCACATTTGTTGATAACAATCAACAGTTTTATAGGGACTCAAAAAAATGATAAGATTAAAAACTAACTAGATTTTTAAACTTATAAAGGAGCATGCTATGAACTGTCTATGATTAACATTTATATCCATTCATCATGTATCTGATCCTCTAAGCATTTTTTTTCAGAAATCGAATTTCTAGAATTTCTGGAATTTCTGGAATTTCATGGGGTGCCATATGTGCCAAGTCCACATGTGCAACTACACTGAGATATGGTCCAGAACTCTTAAGACATATATCATGTTCATCCAATATTTCAGTTCATATATAAGCATGAACTATTAATTTTTTAAGTTACAATTCCTTTCCAGTAAATAAGTTTCTCTAAGTTCTTATAGGTCAAAGCTTTTTTAGAAGTCAGAAGGTGTCTCAGTAGCAGAAATGTTTCAAAAATGTCACCTATTTTACCTCAGAAGTGAAAATTTTCAAGTTTCTCACCTTCATTGCAATTGCAATATTTAATTTTACCCATTTAGTATGTTTAGATAAACTGAGATCACTTTAGGAACTTAAAAGTTACCATAGTTCTCAGAGTTATCTATTAAAAGAGTTGGGAAGTATTTGTTTCGTTTTGCCTTGTTTTCCAGAATATAACCTGTACTATTTTAATCCACACATGTGGATATGCACATGTACTCAAACAAATTTGTGTATGTTCCTAATTAAAATCATACAGCCTTTGCTTGACAGTTCCTCTCTATGTTGAAGAGTAGGTATTGAGTCTGCAGGAGAAATGCTTTTCTGTTAATAAAACTTCTGGCACAGCAGGTTGTCTGGAAAATCAATCTAATTTTTCCTCATGATCTACAGAAGCAAGGGAGAAATATCTAAGGGACCAATTACCTTAAATTTCATGGCTACTTTAGTATTGAGTCAATCAAATGTGGAATATCAATACATCTGCACAGCATGGGTGACTGTTGCCTGTTATCTTGATGAATAGTAGGTGTAGAAATATGAAAGACAAAAACACTAAGGAGGGATTACATACAGTGTTACAGTGATATTAAATATCATCAGGCAAGATGATATCTTACTGTGTGTCCAATTTTAATGAAAAAAATCAAGATGAAACCAAATGAATTCAATTGAATTAATTCTGAAGCATAGATGTCTCAATCCCTGGAAATTAGAGATCATGCATTTTCTTCCAGTTATAGACAGAAAAATGTGCCAAAATTCTGCACATGGTAGTACAATTGGTTCATACTTAAATACCTGTTCTGTGTAACCCCCCTCAGTCACTGAGATCTAGAGACTGCAATCAAGTCAGAGGGATTAGGATCTTATTTATGGATAGCATATGAAAAAGCAGAAATTAAAGAAATTTGAATTAACATTGAATTGAAACAATTAAAAACTTTTCTTGCTTTACCACTCAATTATTTGTTTGGGTTTCTTTTTCCTTCTGAGTTGTTCTTCATTCAGGAACTAATGAGATTTCAGAGAACATGGCTTTTTAGTTATTGCATAACAACACAGTGTTTAGCACTCTTTTTGATGGTTGAATATTGTGGTACAGACCTGTCTTCTTTTTTACTTTTATAAACATGTTTAGTCACCAAACGAGCAGATATTTCAACACATGTTCTTCATGGAACCTGAGACTATATGACAGTTTTAGTGTTTGATATTGACAAAAGTTAAGTGACTCGATCTTCTCGAGTGTGGCCCGGCTAGCTCAGTGATGAGGTTTCTCTTCACTCGAGTTTCGAGCCAGCATATGTTTGTGGGGTTTACTGATTTTCTTCAAGAATCCAAGTCTATAGAGCGAGTAAAGAAATCAGGGGGGGACTCTCTCTCTGGTTTGCATTCCACAGTTTATTTCTGTGAAGGGGAATCCAAAGGATGAGAGACAAAGGATTTGGGGTCTGGGGGGGTCTCTTTTAACAGGGTTTCTCGGAGGGAGGGAACATCAGAGAGAGAACCAATTATTTTTCTCAGTTAGTACATCTTGCAAACTTTCTACAAATCAAGGTTACACACGCCAAGATAAAAAATAACAGACACTAACTTCTTCAAATGCCCACAAAGGTGTGGGAGTATTCTCCACAGAGGGGCAGAGGGGAGAGAGGGGGGGCCTGGTTTCCTGGCAACACAGGGGGGAAAGAAAGGGAAGGGAAGGTAAGCATGCCTTCTCAGCTTCCATAGTTTAGAGGCATTCTGGGACAGGAAAAAGTTACAAACTTCCGTGTAGGAAAGAAGAGTTCTCTTCTCCCAGCCCCGTGCTTTCCTGGGCTAAAGAAACTTCAAGCAGCTGGAAATGCCAGCGGGGTCCTCTCTTTACTCTACCCGGCCTCTCGCCGTGGGGCTGAGGAGAGAAACTTCAGTAACCATGGTAACTTGACGCCAGGTAAACAGGAGAAAGAGAAGCTGGGGGGGAATCACAACTAAAAGATGGGAAAAGATACATTTCAGGCTATCAACTACAACAGTTAAGTACTGAGGTGTCACTGTAGTATGAGAAAAATGGACCTTCTCCCTGTCTCTGGTTATAGACCATAAAATATCCAATAAACTGTGAAAGAGACTAGTAGTGTTGATTTCATACAAGGGGATTTTGAAAAAGCCAATAATTTCCAGTGTGTTACAATTAAAAAAAAAAAATACATTCTCCCCCATCCCCCAAAAAAATAGAGAGAGAAAAAGAAAAACAATAGACCCCCTATTTCTTTTAATGCATAGTCCATGAAGAAATGTTGCTAAAAATTCTCTGCCCAAAAGAAAAGAAATAATCTAGTGTAAATTCCTTTTCAAAAAGTACACAGCATTCAAAATCTGGGAGGATAAAACATGCAATATAAACATTAATTTTAAGGACATTCATACCATTGGTGCACTTACTGACTTATTGACTTTTTTTACCTTTTCCTTACATAATTATTACCATTTTCCTTACATGATTATTACTGACATTTAAGACAGAGAATGTCCCATATTTGCTTTGTTAGTGTAGAAATCGGTTTCACAGAGACATTTAAAAATAGATCTATCCCATTAGCAGCACTGTATGAAATATGGGTTGAACTATTTTTCATAGCAGTAGTGTACCTGTGCACACTGTATTTTATTACTAATGGCATGGTTATAAATCAAATGTTCCATGATGTCTACTCCCTATTCAGTGGTTCTCCAGAAGTTGTCATAGTGGTGACTCATACTATTCTACTCTTTAAGGATTTGATTTAAATAACTCAGACTTAATAGGATAGGTAGGAAATTACATCTTACTGTGAGTTGGAATAAGTTCTAGTTCAAGCATGTGTGTCAGAAGATCTGCAGGTAGTGGTAAGAGTCTGCAGCATTCTGGTTACTTCTTAGCTCTAGATGAAATCTATTCAAAAGAGTGACGGAAAACAGTCTGCTAATCTCCTGTTTCTAAGCAAAAAGGTTCAAAACTCATACACGAGAGATTTACAGAGAGTAAAAAAAAAAATTGACATTAATTGGAACTGAAATTTGCAAGATCATATTGTTTAATGTGTAACTGTGAACTTGTATGTGAGCATCTATGTTGCTATGTAATAGCAGCTGATTGACTCAGGATTCCTGAGTTCACTTGCATTAAATTTCACTGATATGATCAGTCAGAAAATATGCAGAATACACCTTTAACACCCCTGGAGTATGTGGTTTAGGTTTTTTGTTGTTGCTAGTACAATAAGGATTTCTTGTCATGTTTTTGCATTTTCCTAGCAGGCATCCTTTATATAAACTGCCAGTGTACCGTATCGTGTCTGGGGTTCAGGGTTTGCAGCTATGTTAAATTTGACAGACATCAGTTTATGCACGTGAAATACTTGCAACACAACAAAATATCTGAGAAATTCTCAACACTGTTGATTTTTTTGTCAGATAGTCTACATGGGCTGGACGGAAGAACGGGAACAAGACTCCCTTCAGGACCGAATGTACACACCAAAGTTTCTAGCACTGAGGGGATCTTCCCTGTATAAATTTATAGCACCTCCAGTAAGTATGCTCCTCATGCTTAGTGGGAATAAATGTTATTGAATAAAATAATGTCATGTAATGTGTACAAGTCTTTCACAATGAGATCTCTCTCATTGGGCTAGCAGGACTGCAACTAACAGCACTGAAAAGTTCCAGGGGGTGTGGTGTAGAAGTGATAGAAAACAGCTCTTCATCAGATGATTGGGTATATAGCAAGAATTTATTTTCCCCTGCTTGAATGAACACTTATAAAAATAAAAGAGAAATCTGCTCATGTTAAAAGGGAGCTTTTAATTTTCCCGTGGCAGACAGAACAGGCCCAAAGCAAGATGGTTAGATTTAAACTGAACAATCATTCTAGTAAAACTTCTGAGATTTGGGAAAACATCAAAGTTTTCACATGCTGCGGAGATGGCAATATATTTCTATTTAGATTCCATCCTGAATGTAAGTTTTTGCTTCTTAAGAGCACTAAAAGGAAGGTAGGGAATCAAATGAAAATGTTTAAGTTAAATATCTGAATTGGAATCTCACTGCAAACACTGGGTAAAATTTTAACGTTCATCTTATATTCAGTAATTTACTTTCTTACAATGTTACGGTACATCTAAGCTGCAGTAAAAATCCTCTAGCTAACTTTTAAGCCAGTTGCTAAGGAGACAGTTGCAGTCCCATGCCTGCAGCAGGAAGAGTCATGTGGATTAATTTTTCCTGTTTATTGGGTGACCTTTCTGACTGCTGCTAAACCCTGTGTTTGTCAGATCCAGGCTGTAGCTCCTTCCTGCCTGAAACAGAATCATCGAATAGTTCAAGTTGAAAGGGAACATTAAAGGTCATCTAGTACAACCTCCCTACAGCAAGCAGGGACATCTCCAAGTGGAGCAGGTTTCTCAGAGCCTGTCTAACCTGGTCTTCAAAGTTTTCCAGGGTCTTGGCTCTCTCAGGTCTATTAATGGAAGCTTGGCTTTTTTTGGTGGATATTTTTCAGGATCAGATTAAAATGTCAGATTATGCTAACAAGCACCTTAATTCAAAACCAGCTCTCCTGTCTTTGCCAGACCTACTTGAGCATTCGATGCCTGTCAAGTAAAACCAACTCCATTCTGGGTACTAGACAGAATCAGAATCAATGATGAGAAATCCTGTTTAATACAAAACAGGAAGATTATTCTTTTTTTAAGAACTATGGACGTTCTTAATGGAAGAGACCACAAGCCTCTTTACTGAAGAATCATGAATTTATAAGAACAATATAGTTGTAGAGGGTAAATGTCTGATGGGCAGTGATTAATGGATGTGAAAGGAACATGTTCACATGGTGATGTAAGGAAAATTTTGGCAAGCTGCTATTGTATAAGGCAAGAAATCCATCCTCCGATTTTTGTAGCTCTTGTTTCAGCTCAGCTGCAAGCACAAAATGAATTTGTATTGTCAGATTCTGGTTCCCAATCTAAAATAGAAAAACTGTTCAAATGCAGAGAAAAATATTTTCTCTTCATGGAGTAGGAGGGAAGCAGAATGATAACTGTGCTTTTTTTAGGACAGAGGAAGAATTCCTACAGAGCTCCCTTAAAGACTTAGAATGTTTGGGTTAGAAGGGACCTTAAAGGTCATCCAGTTCCAAAATGTAATGTATATAATAATTCCACACGTCTAAATTCCTATTTTCTATATGCAAACTTTTTACACATACAGTTATGTTTGCTATTCTGCAGGTTTGTCTCTTCCAGGGATTAGAAAATATTATGAACAAAGTTTCAATGACAGTTTCAGAGCTTCTTTTTAAGAGATGTATAAAGTGTAGTTAAAATAAAAACTGTTTTAATTACATGTGCAGTATAAACTACTTGGACAAAGTTGTTTTCTGAGATGTCAGAACAGAGATGTCCTGCAAACTTTCTAAACCAGAAAATGAAACAAAAGTATTTCCCCAGTCTCTGCCAAAATCTAACACATTAGGGAAGCACGTGTTTAAATTATGTCTATCAACAGCCTCCCCCTGCCTCTTTTTTTATCTGTTTGATCAATAGTACTTCTACTTCAGATAAAAGAGCAATCCTAGTGTTTCTTATTTGCATTTTGAAATTTTTAAAGACAATTACTTCTATAGTATTATTTTTTCTATTATTTCCTGATACATTTCCTTCTTTAGAAATATTAATTGTATCCAGTCTGGTAGGTTTCAGCTTGGTCCAATTTATAATTTGAAATTTACTCAAGAAAGAGCCACTAACACCCTTTCTTTTACTACTCAATATTTTAAATTAAAACATCAAAAGTGACTGGTGCAGCAATTTCTATGGGTGTCTTAATTCTACAGTTGCTTTTGCTTTGCACATATCTTTACACAGAAAGAGTTTTGGTTTGACCTGAAAAGAAGTCCCTTTACAGATACAAACAATAGCAGGAAACCAGGGCAGAAGAGGGAGCACTTATATTTTCCCCCAAAGTATGGAGCCTATTGTAAATTTTTAAGCATAGCTCCAAATGACTTTTTTCTTCAGGAGCAACAGTATTGACTTTTCCTCATAGCACAATATGACTTCACCTGGTGTGATGGGGTGTTGTGGGCTCAGTGGGGCTGTAGCAAGACTCCTCTCCCCATTTTTCTGTTCATGGTGAGAAATTTATCTTTTTGTCCATAGGAGAAAGAGTAGCTTTGCAGTTTACTGCCCTCAGTTCAATAAGATAGTGAAGACTGCATTTGACAATGACTTCAAATAAAGAAAATCCTAATAGAAGAGTAACTATGCCACTGTATTTTTGAACTTTTCCTTTCTTCCTGTGATTTCCCTAAAGGACTTTCCATTACAGTAATGTTTATAACTAAAAATGAGTTAGGGATAGAATTTTATCATACAACATCAAAATAATTTTGATCTATTAATGCTTATTTTCTGTTTATATAAGAGATAAATTGACCTCATAGAATATTTTGTTCCTTGGGCTCTGGAAACTATTTTATTAAACATTTTTCAAAAAGTTCATCTTGAATCTTGTAGAAGCAGTAACATATGTTTTCATCAACCTCTTCATTGTGCCTAATAAATTTAATGATACAGCTGTCTTCCTTTGGATATGGCCCAGTCCAAAGTGTCTTACCATTAAGATGATTATTCTTTCATTCATAACCTAAATTTCATTCTAGTTTGTGCCTTCTTCTGTATCTTGAAACTTTAAATATTCTCCTGTTTTCTGCTTGCATTTTCTTTGGAAATTTTATACACTGTTCTGATATTGCCTTAACTCTTCCCTTACTGAGTATGATCATCTATCCCTTTTTGTCTCATTTAAGTCTTAACACCTACCCTTCCACGATTTAATTTAATTATTTTATATATATGCATTTTTTCTATGTAAAACAGTTGCCTAAAATGTTAAAAAATAAACAGTTAAAAACAGTTGTGAAATCCCAAAACAAAGAGGAAACAAAAAAGATGAAACAATCTATTCTTCAAATCTTAGTTTGTTAGAATTTAGGAGTAGATTAATCTTGGTAAGAAAAAAAAGAAAGTGAATATCTGCCTGTGTTGTTCCATGCTTTGTTTTTTTCCCCCTGGATTTCAAGGCATGTGGGGTAAGTGTTTGGGACATTCCAAGGTTGGAGACTGGTTTTGTGAATTTGCAGACGCTGTAGGTGGCTGGGAGCAAATAGCGGCATGCAGTTGCAAGGAGGAAAGTGGTGAGATACATGTTTTCTAGTAGACAGGGCCCTGGCTCTGTGAGATGAATTCAAGGGCTGTATCCTCTCAGGATCTCACTGCAACCCCTGCAAGTTCCCAGGGGAGGTTTCGTTTTGCAGAGAGCAGTCTGCATGCAAAGGAGCTGCATTGTAAGGACAGGGGAGATGTCTCCTAAGCATTGCCTGGATGGAACAGTCTGCTCCCTGCTAGTTGTTCCTTTGAGGCAGTGTTTGGCCTTTCTGAATTTATTTTAATCAATGTAAATAGTTTAGGGAATTTTTTTTTTTTTCTTAATAAACTTAATTCTTGAAACCAACAAAAATAACTCTTTTTTTTCTGTTTATTTTGTGTTTTGTTTGTTTTTTAAAGGTCACAACCTGGGATTGGACACGAGCTGAGAAAACATTTTCAGTTTATGAGATAATGTGCAAAATTCTCAAGGTATGATAAGAAAGTATAAAATAAATTACCACTTTGACAGACAAAAGCATAACACTAACTACTTTGCAAAGAGAGATCTATTTTTCCCCTTTAAAGTGAAATATCAGAAGTCCTGACGTCAGTAGATACAGAATCAAACTAGAAGGCATGGAAAAAATTGGAAATAAACTGATTTTTACTAGAAAAGTACCTATTTCTCCATAATGCTTATGGGGTTTACAGCTCCACTTTAATGTCACATTTAACTAGTGTAGCATTTCTTTTCCTAACTGAGGACCTAAAGAAACAGTGATCAGTTTGGTTGCTTTCAAATATGTTGATGGAACTAATAGCAGCTGCAATGTATGATTTCACTAGGACTGAGAGCAGAATCTTTGAAATATGCAATACTATTTTGAAAAGTTTTGTCCTATTTTTTCCATTTTCTTCAGTCTTCCTGAAGTGTAATAAAAGGGAAGAGATAATGATACATGTTTAGAAAGTTAAAATTATGAGTAGCAAATTAAATAAGACTATTATTGTACATAGTTTTTAATTTTTAATTGTGAATTAAATCAGAATTATTTTATGTGGTCTTCTCTCTGTTTTAAAAACAGTGAAAAACAGATGTTCAAAATTCCTTAAATGAGAAGGAAAAGAGATGCCTTCTTCTATTCATTTGAAGTGCTTTCTGGTTTTTTGGGGGCCAAATTATGTAAAAGATAATTTTAACATTTCTCTAGTTTTATCTAGGCAGAGACAGACTAGTGTCAACAAGAAATATGAAAATACTATGCTTTTAAAAAATTTTTCCCACTGGAAAGACCTTTTACTGACATAAATGGTACATTTCTCAGGTTTTGTAGGTCACATAGGTGCGCTACATTTTCCTTAGGGAGGCAGATTAAAGCTGGAATGGCTCAATAAAATTCAGAAACTTTTTGCACTTGAGACTTCAATAGAAAAAAATAAAATCAAAAAAAACAACCACAAAACCAAATATATAGTCTGAAAAAATCCACCTTCCTAGCAATCTGAACAGAGAAGTGAAAAGTTTACTTTTGCCACTGTTGGCTGTGAGGTCTGGAGTCGTATCAAGGAGTAGAACATCCCAAATGCAGCACATCCCATCACTGTGGTATGTCCTTCAGTTACTGAGTGCATGCAAATATTGGCTCCTCAGAAGTGCTCATGCTGGGAGCTGAGTAACAGGACAAGTTGTTCACTCAGTGAAGGCATTGCACTGAGGGTGTAAATGAACAATGCTCTAAGAACACAGTCAGCCTTTGGAAAGGTTGAAAAATGCCACTTCTCACATGCACTTTTTTTTCCCCCATTCTCTTTGGTAACCTCTGATTGCTTCAGGCCTTGGGCTTAATGCAATAAGCATCAAGGTAGCTCTTTGTCAGAGAACTGAGCACTTTGGAGCTAGGGTGACTCTTCCTTATGACTTATCCAAAGATTTTTTTATACTTTTTGAATAGAAATTTCTGGAATGCATGCCATATAATTTTCTGTAATTTCAAGGTCCTTCTTCTTTTAGCCATTTGCGTTTGTTGATGCTCTTCTTAAGTCACTTGCAATTTTAGCCATTTTTCTTTTCCCCTCTTTTTTCTATGTCTCCTATTCTTGTATACCAATACATTGTTTTTTTGTTCTTTTTTTTTTAATTTCTCAACCATGTAGCAGAAGTTATTACAGCCAAGGAGACAGTTCACAAAGCAGTAAAATCTAAACCAGTGCCTTCCTGGCACTGTTGTGTAGAAGCACATGAAAAAATACAAATATGCTGGGGGTTTTTTTATCATCCAGCCCTCCAAACTATCTGGGAAGATTTTCCAGCCTCAGTCTATATTAACAGAGAAGCAATTCCAGCATAAGTAATAGAAGAATATAATTTATATGTTTCTTTACCACTTTATTGATACTCAATTATTCATTTATTGTCTGTAAATATGGTCAGGCTTATAAAATGCTGAAATGTTCCAAGCAAGTTCTTTAGCTGACAAAAACCTGTAAATAATAAAAACTGGAAGTGGAAAAATCATTGCAGTGGAATTGCAGCTTCTGACATTGGAGCATTAATCTTCACCATGTTCTAGTTTTCTACAGCAGGTGCTATAGAACTTAGCTATGGTTTCACTAAATATAAAAGCAAATAAAACCAAGAAAAACAGCTTCCCATTACACTACTATATTGAACATCTGTAGAAACTCAAGGTTTGTTCAGCTTTTATGCCAGCATCTTAAAAGTCTCCATTTAAGCAATGACTGGTTTTTGGACCCATTTGAACAAGCCCCATGGATATTACTGAACCAGAGTCCACATTAAAAAAAAAAAAATAAAAGTTACTGTGGGGTTTTATGATTACCTTCAAACTTTTTCCCTTTTATAGTACCTCAAATGCTACTTTTATTATAAATCTATTTGGCTTGGCGAATGACACAGCTTTTCTGGCTAATATTCACTTCAAGTAGAAGAAATTGCAAGTGGGATGTGCTAACCTTTGCATGAGTTAGCTGAGTGAGTAGTGCTTTAGAGTTAAGTGTTACCACATAATTTACTAAGCAAAGTGTATCTCTATTACATGGCTTGCTTGCATTTGAATGAGATATTTAAAAAAATCGTCCACATTTAGACTTATATTCATTAGGATGCAGCTGTCACTCAAGGTAGCTGGTATTTTGTCCTGTGTATATTGGCAATTTCAATGACTGTCCCTTGTGCCACAGGGACAGGACTTAACATGTCTGTATGTATTTTTTCTCCATTTTCCACTTAATTGTAACTAAAATTCTGATGAATTTAAACAGTCTGGATTAGAGAGAGATTTACTGTACCAAGTTTCTCTTTTTAAATAGAATTGTAATTTTCCTTAGTTTGAGAGATTTCTCTGTTTCTCTTCATGACAGAAGCACTACAGTGGAGAAAATGAACTACCAGATCCTACTGAATGCTCATTAATATTTTAGCGTTTCAGGATAAGAGAATAATTACTCTTCTGGTAACAATAAAAATATTGAAACAGTAAACAAATATTAATGTCTACACACAATACTTTGTCTACTACAAAGTACTTAACTGATTTAAACTTCAGGAAAAGTATATAGTCCAAAGATGTTAAATAAAACCTAAAACTTGTCTTCCACCATGACCAATGTTTTCTTTATATTTACTTGCATGTGTTTAGTGTTCTTTTTCATCCAGCATCCATTCCAAAGACTGATTCCTTTCACAAAAAATATAGAAGATTGGGATGCCATTTTCAATTGTCACAGTGGCCTTAGTCTCAAGCAGCTACAAGGCAGGATGTTCTGTACCTTGTTCAGAGATATCAGAGATTATTATGTGGTTTATAGCTAGTGGATTCATATTTAGTACTCATCAAATAAATCTATTTTGTTGTAACTGTATACTTTTTTCTTTTATTTTCTGCATCAGATTACAAAGAAAAAGAAGAGAAAGCAAGGCATTGAGTCTGTATTCTAATTTGATTAGGACCTCCTAAATAACCAGGAAGACCCTTAAGATTTGAAACATGAAAATACACTTTAAAAAACAGTCTTTTCACTGTGTGAAAAATAGTTTTATTGACAAAAATTCAGCAAAATATCATTGAGCCTCTAATTCAGTATTTACAGTTTTATATAGTAAACAAATAAAAATTTAAAAAACCCCGAACTCTCAAAACCACTTTCATACACTACCATTAAAAAAATGTAATATAAAAAAGTTCTGTATAAAGTTTACAAACTACCAAGTAAAAATACTTATCACATAAATATGAAGCTCTTCATTGTCAAGATTTTGAGGATGAAATAATAATTTTTGACATGAAACCTAAGTAAAGCAAGCTGAGTACAAATATCCCATTTTTATTTAATTGGTTTAAATTATTCATTGTGAAATAATGGCAAACAGCAGTGGGCTTTGTTTGATGTAAAAGGAGTATTTATGGAGATGCAAATAACTTACCTGGGGGCATAAATTGGTAAGCATATTAAATAATTGATTAAAAATTCAATAGATCTGTTGATTAAGGGGTGGAAGCAGAGAGAAAAGGCACTGAAGAACTCCTTAAGCCTAAAATTAAGCAGGTAAAAAGAAAATGAGTAGAAATCAAAGTCAGGCAAGTTAAAATGGCAAAGAAGGTAGGAACTGTAAAAGCTGTGCTGATTAGTCAGCTAAAGGTACCAGTAAAAAGTTGATAGCATTTAAGGCACTCTCTTTTTTCTTTTTTTTTTTTTCAACACAAGTTTATTCAGACTAATGCCAATGGGACAGTGACACAAGCATGTGGATGAAAAATCTATGATCTGTGTTAAGAAATTTGTCAGGCAAGATAATGTAATGATCCCACTTTTGACATGAAAATGTATCTATGAGTCATTTTCAAAAGAACTGCTGGAAGAATTTGCTATCAATAAGTATTTCTAATTTATTCTCCCAGAAGCTTGTTTCACCTTATCCTTTATTTTGGGAAGTAAAGCCCTCCTAACAGCCAACTAATTTTTATGTTGCAATTGAAAAATATTCAATATTCTAGAAATGCAGGTAATTTTGTCACTACAGAAAGGCAGGTGGCCTTATCCTTTTCAGTATTTCAAAGCTGATTTAACTGTATATGTCTTTTTTGGTACCTCTTGATACACAATTTTAACATATGTGTTTTGAGAGTGTGTGCATGTGTAAGTGTGTATAATTTAACAAGATTTAAGTACCTTAGATAAATTTGTCAATAGTTTAAATATTTAAACAATTTTTCCATATAGGGAATAGAAGAAAGTTTGTTACATTTTTTCAGTTAAATTATGAAGAGTAACATAAGAAATTGCACTTCTCTTTTCTTTTTGCTTCAGTAACTTTTGTTCTTCAGCAACTTTTGTTCTTCAGCTCATCCAAAAATCTCCATTTAATCACGAGAAAATGCTTTCTATAGTTCAGTCACCTACCTCCTATCTTCAGTGTCATGCAAAAATATTTGGAGATTCACAGTTAGAGCATACTTTATTTAGCATGA